ACTAGGTATAACATCAGAAAGTACATCACTCCCACTTGTAATGTCGCTGCCAGGCAACTTGTGATATGCAAGAGAAAGAACAAAGGCTTAGAATACAGCAGGCAGATTTAAAGTCATTCTGCCACTATTAACAATTCAAAACACACTGTCAGATTAGCAAAGAATCGCTATCCATAGACTCTAACTTAGTAATTACTCCTAACCTTGTAGTATTCCTTTGAATCTTCCAACAAACGGCAATTATAGCAAACTCAATTCACACTATTCTCTAACTTACCAATCCTCTTTTTAAACACATTGGATTTAAGAGAACAGCAGAATGATGTGGCATTTCAACTGTTTCCCTTCTCCATTGGTGTCAATTGTGCATTGTCCATTGTCCAACCCAAACGTAAATCTCAACCTCCCATTTTAAAGCATAAAGGAAGTTCTAGTTTAAGGAAGATCATTTTAAAGTAGGTTTGTACTTTATACCACACCCCATAATTACACAAGACAATTCAATTAAAATCACTTTCATTTGCCTGAAAGCAACTGCAGAACTTTAGCTTCATTTATACCCCTGATGTAATTTCTGAACACACTTCCAGTTACAGTGACAGCTGGATTACTCATGCTGAGATTCTGCCACATAACACCAGAAAGAGCTACAAAGAGTCTTTCCAAAATTCTGCAGGTCCAATCAAGTCAAACGGCTCTTAAAAAAGGCTTGTTTTAAAAAAAAGAATAATTGAGAAAAGGTAGTTACTGATCAAGGATGCTGTCAACTAACTGAGACATGAGAAATTACTTCTTTTCAAAACACCATTTCACAGCTCAGTGAAGCTCTGAATCTTTGGGATGCAATCCGAGCTGTAACATACAAATGCACTTGGAACTTCTGTGATACAACATACACAGATACTAGCAGTCATTCTAAAACCAGTAAGAAATTCAGAGCTAATTTCAGTCCATGTTGTCTTAAGTTCATTTGCATCTTCTGGAACAGGATTTGCACTTTCTCAAAATCAGTACTTTCTTTCAGTCCTTACACTGACTTTATAGACTCTGTCCACGCTTTGCCTAAGCTCCCTGACACAGCTTAAAAGTATTCCTCAGTTTCCTATTTCAAAGCTGTGTATATGCTCACAGTTGAAGTAAGTCCGTAATATAAAAAGGCAATTCAAGTCTATAATATATAAACCAGTCTGCATATCACAATTGAAGAAGCTGCTGAACAAAGACAACTACCACAAACTAGAGATATTTGACCACAACTGAATCCAATACTGACTAGGAAAAAGGAGGATGTGATTCAGCTTCATGCTTTTCCCATCCTGGTCAGACAAATACTCTTTGTACAGGAGAGAAAAAAAAAAAAAGATAGGAACAGGCTATGGCAAAAGCTTCTACAATTTGTCTAGATGCCAGCTCCATTCCAAAGAAAGATTTAATATGACCGAACCACTGGAAGCAGACATCTACAGGCAGATTCCAATATCAGGGCAGATCCTTAGTACAAAGGATCTAAGTTCATGGCTATAAGACACATACTGGTCCCCAAGACCAAACTACCATAATATATAAGCACTGCTCTTTGAAGAGCTGACTTTCAGTCTCCCCCTCCAATTTAAGAACACTGGAACAAAATGGAACAAAGCATTTTCTTTAACACTGAAGACTCAGCAATCTGCTCTTACGTTCAGTAGTTACCCAAAAACAAATGCTGAGGACTTTACCAGCACTTAACAGCCTATACAGAATTTCACATTTACAGTGGAAGTAGTTTACCTGCCACTCAAACTCACTGTCTGACCAATCCCAGTATGTGCTGATAGAAGAAGAGACATCACTGCAGACACTGCCCTCGGGGAACAAATCAAAAGAGGTGAACTCCTGGTCATCCAAGAGAGAGTAACAGTCATCCTGATCCCCAACGGAAACTGATGAGAACAGCTCTTCACTGCACTCTGAGCTGGCTACGCTGGTTCCACACGATGTCAAGTTCCACCTGCAAAACAGAGAAAGCAGCAAACTATCAATATCATGTGGCCTGGGAAATTCTTCTAAGCCTCATAAAACCACCTCCACTTAGCTTGTCAGTAACCTTATACATTGATTTTATTCCAGTGTTATAATTACGTGAAACATTCTATTTTCAAGTATTTTTAAAGGTCCATAATCAACACCAAAGGGAATTCAACATTAAAACTGGCAAAACAAAATTCCATGTACTGTTAACAGAATTACACCTTTATTTTAGTATATTAACAGTTTCCACACCAGAGCCATGATTCCTGTAGCGTTTAAATTGTCTTTCTTGGTTTTATTGTGGTTTGTTTTTTTAAATACTCTGAACTACAAATATAATTTCACATATACTGGGATACTTAAACCTGCATGCAAACTGAAACAAGCAAAACTAAGAAGCAAATCAACTGGACTTCAGGATAAGTAGGAGTCAAAAGGGAAATCTAGGATGATAATCCCCCCCAAAAAACTACGGCTTAATAAGGAAACTCATTACAGATATACCTAAGGCTCCAATATTCACTATTTTCAACTCTGAATGCCAAAAATATTGGACATCCTGTTGGAATGCAAACATGCAAAATGTGAAAATGACCTTTGCAAAATGCTACAGTGCCAAAACTGAACACTTTCCCACCCTCCCTCATAATTTCATTTAGAAAGCTAGTTAATGCTGTTGCTAAAGGAAAGCAATTGAGGACTCAAACTTCACAGAACAGGTTTTTTCAGTCTAATGACAGTAAGCCAGAATTTAACAATGAATCATGAAATCAGCCTCCATTATCTGGATTTCTTTTACACATTGGTGAAAAGTAGGTCGAGACAACTGTGAGTCAGCACAGCACTGCCACATGGCCACAACAATTTGTCTGTGAATTTGAGAAGCCCTTTTCAAACCCATGCCATAAACTCCTGTCCCGTCAGCCTTTCCACTTCAGCCTGGGTCACTTGAAAAACATTCCTCTATCCAACTGCAAAAGCTGAGTGATGCCATCACCCAGAAAGGCTGGTCCCCAACTGTCATTATTTAAGCTGCATACCAGGATGGCTAAATATGTTTGTGATGGTCTCACGCCCACGCCTCTTTGGCCAGCAGTGAATTTATCCAGTGCCAAAGGCATTTCAAAACTTTTCCTTTGGCAGATTCGGGAGATCTTGTCCTCCCTTTTCTGCACCACTTACTCATGTGCGATTTTTTACTGGTACAGAATTTATAGTGAGCAGGGCAATCAATATAGAGCATATATAGAGATACAGAGCAGAACATGAGTGTGGTGACACAGCACACTTCTGAACTTTACTACAGTTTCACTATCCATGAAATATTGATGAAAGGAAAGACAGAGTGGACAAAGTTTCCAGACCAACCAAAACAGAGAATGAGGTGCAGGGGCTATACCACCAACAAGCTATACACAGACATTCCAGGTCTGCAGTACCACTGCAGTCAGCCCTCACATTCTCGTAACTTGGGGATGCTGTACCTGCTGGGGTAAGCAGGATTAGCAAGAAGTAGGAACTACATTAAAATTACTCAAAAAAAATAGAAAGGCTTATGTGAACACTATGGACTGAGCTGTGCATCTACAATGGCTCAATCAGTGCAAGACAGAGCATGTCCTTGCCCCCAAGAAAAGAAATACCCACTCAGTATGTCCAAACCTAGGTTTGTAAAATGAGCAAGCCAGAGTAACACGCTCAAGAAGTGACAATGCAAAGAGAAATGTACTAAATAAAGGCAAAATTGATGAATATCACACACTTATCTTACAGATATGCTATGAATACATCTTACTAGTCATGTCACAACTGAGTCTTTCAATATAAGAACCAGATCATGAAAATGCTTCATATTTCATCAAGGCAGTGAACCATTTAAAAGTCTGTAAGTAAGAGCTTGCCCTTTTGAATGACACTTTTAAAACATGATTTCTATTATTTCATACAAATTCGATTGAAAGATTATCTTATTATCCACTCTTCATAATGCTGTAATAGAAACCCTAGTAACTAGTAAAACTATCTTGCAACTCTGGAAAAGGAACTAAAACTATCCCACAGGTATGTTTAAAATGAAAAGTCACAAACTCTTCTCAAAAATAAGATGTTGCTATATTCAAGCTTAATACCATGCATAAACAGTAGCAGAATGAGGCTCTTAAGTAAACAGGACTGTGGGTTTGATTTGAGAGACACAACTGGAATTCCTTTGTAGAGCTGCGTTTGCATTTTCAGAATAGACCTCTTCTACAAATTACAGACAGGCCCTTAATTAGCAGCATGGGATGGAAATGTTTCTGCACGAATTGGTGCAGCCACCGAGCTGCCTGATTCATTCTGAACCTCTGCAGGCTTGCTTGGTGTCCACGCAAGGCCTGCTTTTAATTACTATAAGCACACCACTCTTCATTTCCCTGTCCTACAGTGCTCAAAACGGCATTTCAAGAAATTCAGAAAGGAATAAACGTACCTTAAAAACCGACCAAGCTCACACTAACATTCTAACGTTATTAGCCGAACGCAGGCTGAGCCCACACGCAGCTTTGCCAAAGGCAACCGTAACCCAGGCAGGGGAGAGCGAGCGGGTACCGGGAGAAACCGCAGCCCGGTCGCACCGTGCTGGTAGAAAAACGGGGAGGGAAGCACGGCCCTGCTGCGCAGCAGCCCCGGCTTCGCCGCAGCCCCTCCCGCCCCGGGCCCCTCGCTACTCCCGAGCTGCTGCGGCCCTGTCGCCTCGGCCCGCCGGATAGGCAACGACCGGAGAACCCCGCGGAGAGGCGGGCGGACCTGTTAGAGTGGAAGCGGTGCAGCGGGTCTGTTCGGTGACAAGACGAGAGCTGGCAGCCGAAGTCGCTCACGTCCAGGCAGCCCTCCTCGCTCAGGCTCAAACTGCCGCCCCGCGGCGGGTGCTGGTGCGAGAGCAGCGGGCACGGCTCCTCGGGGGCCAGGAACTTCTCGTACGGCTCCTCGGTCATGTCGACGGGAACGGAATGGCTGCAGCGCGGCCCGCCGAGGGCGGGGAGGGGCCGCGGAGGAGATCGCCTCACGGTCGCACCTGCCGATCCGCCATCACCGGCCGGTCCCAGGATGCGCCTCAGCTTTACGGACGGCTCCTTCCGGCGCGCGTCCTCCGCTCCGGTCCGGCACAGCGCCCCCTGCCGTGGCGGAGGGCGACACAGTGTGCCCTCCCCCAGCACGCCCCTGGCGCCAGCGGGACGGGGCGGCGATGGCGGTGGCGGCGGCGGCGGGCAGGGCCGCGGCCCACGGGCACGGCGAGAGCGGTGGCGGCCGCGGCGGCAGCTTCCTGGGGCCGCGGGTGCCGGCCGAGGTAGAGGCTATGGCTCGGGTCCTGGAGGACATGGGCAAGGAGACCTTCCGGCGGCTCCTCAGAGGTACGGCCGGCGAGGCCTGCCCAGCCCCGCCCCGGGCATCCCGCCGCCCTCGGTGCCCCGCCGCAGGGTGTGGGTCAGAGCCGGAGGGCAGCGCCGCGTTCCGTGGGGAAGGCGGGGACAGCTGGAGGGTCGTGGCGGGCAGGGTCGCCGCTCTCCCGCGGCGCTTCCCGTTGCTTCTCCCTGCAGGAAGCTAAAGCTGAGCGTTGAATTAATGACGGGTTTTCCTGTGTGTATGCTAAAGCCCCGTAAGGTCCGTGAGAACGAGGAGCTCTCACTCTTCTCTCCCCGCTCAGCCCCAGAGCCGGTAGTCGAGTCACGGTGGGATTGTGTTGGTCAGGGGAAAGCCAGAGCCGTGGATGCTGTCAAAACGTGCAGGAGGAAATGAAGGTATCTGACTGGAGCTGAGGCTGCAGGGATTGATGAGGTTTTTCTCTGTGAGGCTCCTGCCTGCGGTAAAGCAAGAAAGTTGGGATTTTCTCAAGGCATCTTTGACCACCAAAATCAGAGTTACTTGGTTGAGTAAATTGCAGAATAATCCAAGAGTTGATTAGTAGAGCAAAAGCACAGCTCTGAGGAGCCCAGCTGCTGCATGGACAGTGTGGTGCTGCAGGCCTGGCACGTGTGTGCTCTCAGATAACTTCTTTTCAGGCCTCTTTTTGTTTTTTCCTTGGATTGAGTCAATAAGGACTCAAGGCATCTGGCAGCTGTTTGCCTCTGAAAGTGTTGCTGCAGTGCCAGAAGTGGAGCAGTGCACCCAGGGTTTTCTTACAGTAATTGAAAGTAATAAAGCAGATGTATAGGTAGAGGCACTGGGACTAAAGTAAATACAGGTGTTGAACCATATTTGCTGTCCAGTGCAGAGACAACAAAGACCAAGAAGTTACATTGGTGCCAGAAAGCCTGACTGTCCCCTAAGCTCCAACTGAGTTTTATTTCAGTGTGATTATTGCCTACATTTAGGTGTGCAATAAATGCTTCCTACTGTAAGGGGAAAAAACAGATCTTCAGAGCTGTGTGAAGGCAGGGCAGGTTAATGATGATTCATCCAAGGGATTCATCCAAGTGCCCAGGTTATGTGAGGCTGGCAGAGATCTCCAGTTATCTTCTGCTCTTGTTGGCCGGGGATTGACAGCTTGCAGGGCAGAAGGTTGTCCTTTGAAGGGTTAGTAGTCTTTGAAGACATGATGGATTTCTACCCAATACATCTGAATTGCTCTGGCATTTGCACCAAGTTAGTTTTTTGAGGCTGTTGCTGTTATACTGCTAAATCATAATAAAATGAGATGTGGCTTTATATACCTGCACAGTTCACAGTGTAAAAAGTGCATATACCGTTATCTCAGGGTTACCTAGCCTGTGTTATTGCAGGCTCTGCTAAAGTGTCATTTACTTTCTAACAGTAGGAAATGATCCAGCAGTGAGATTTTCTTGAGATATTTTGGGCTTTTTCTTTTCTACTTCAGATTGACTATTGGAAATGTTGTGACAGCGATATTTCTGAGTTCCCTGAACTGTACTGAGTAAAAACCATCTTGTATTCTAGGGTAATGCAAGTAGGTTCTAAAAGATGATGTGGACTTTTAACTAATTATTAGGGTTAGTCAACAGAAAGCAGACCACTATTGTCATTAAAGCTGTCTAGTTGTCTAACTGTAAGTGACCTGTTGCTCTTTGAAGAAACAGATCAAAGTTGTATTTAAGTAGGTAAGTAAGCAGCAACCTTTTTCCTGCTCTGTGCATGGTGTTGTAGGCAGGCCTCGGTGCTGATCTGTATGTGGCCATTCCAGCAGACTCAAAGTCAGTTTTGTTGTCATAGAGCAGAGCCTTTCTCAGCATGGAAAGCTTGGTACTAGCACTACTAGCACCTTGCACACTCGTTCTACTTGTGCAAAATCTCCCATATAGGTAGTGCCAGACAAATTCAGTCGGCAGCGTGACTTGTTAAGGGAGAAGCTGCTGCCTGAGCACTTGCACACCATCCAAGGAGTTGCACATACACCACCCAAGGTAACTGCTAGGACCAGAGTGCATCACAGCAGGCAGCTTCAGTGAGCACATGGGCGCTCCTTTCGACTCCTTGCTCACACACATTCTTGGGCACACTTCCTCCTCCTTCAGACACAACCTGCTTCTCACACGCCTTTTTAGTCCAGTGGTGATTTTTTGGTCTGGGGTTTTCTAACATCTTACTGGATTCTTTCTCTGTCTCCATACAGGCAGGCTGTTTACTGTTCTTATCTTGCTGAGTTATAGCTTCCACTGATGGTTGTAGCCTCCTTCTGCTTTGTGCTTCTTGTGAACCTGCTTGTCAGCAGAGCACAGGCACTTAAAAAGCCATAGACCTACCATAAACATCTAAACGTTTAGCAACAACTTAAACTTAGTAACTAAAACATCAGCGTGTTATCAAGTCCTTCTCACACTAAAGACAAAACACAGCACCATACTAGCCTCTAGAAAGATCACTAAGAAAACTAACAGAAAGCATATCTAGGTAAAAGTCCACAGCTTGCAGCCTAAGACTGCAGCAGATCTAGCTACTGATGCTAAGCAAGTTGAACTGAGCAAACAGCATTCTAAACCACACAATAGTTTAAGTGACTCAAAGTATTCAAAACTTATTTAAACTAACTAACTTATATCTCTCAACATGAATGATACAAGACTTGCCACTGAATTTGGTACACATTTAAAAATGTGAAAAGCAAAGAGAGTTTATAGAATCATAGAATAGTTAGGGTTGGAAAGGACCTTAAGATCATCTAGTTCCAACCCCGCTACCATGGGCAGGGATACCTCACACTAAACCATGCCACCCAAGGCCTCATCCAGCCTGGTCTTGAACACTGCCAGGGATGGAGCGTTCACAACCCCCCTGGGCAACCCATTCCAGTGCCTCACCACCCTAACAGGAAAGAATTTCCTCCTTATATCCAATCGAAACTTCCCCTGTTTAAGTTTTAACCTGTTACCCCTTGTCCTATCACTACAGTCCCTAATGAAGAGTCCATCCCCAGCATCCCTATAGCCCCCCTTCAGATACTGGAAGATACTGCTCTGAGGTCTCCACGCAGCCTTCTCTTCTCCAGGCTGAACAGCCCCAACTTTCTCAGCCTATCCAGAATTAGAAAACAGTAGCCAGTGGAACTCACCTACTGCCAAGAGGAAGGCTGGCAGTTTGATTAGAACTCTTTTTTATTTATTTCCCAACATTAGTATTTAGCTAATCTCTTAGTGCTGGCTTTCAGTACCACTTGGTGGACATTTTTAACTTTTCATGTTTTATTCACAGCACTAATACGGCTCATTATAAATGACTAATCTAATGCCCTGATCCTGCAATGGGATTGTGTCAGTAATCTGGTTTTCCCACAGTGAGGCTTCCTGTGGCTCCAGGAGCCCTTCCAGGCTGATCAGGGTGCAGGACAGAGGCTGATGTGACAACAGAAGTTTATATAAGCCAGTACATACATGGAAAAAGAAAGAGTAATTGAATGGTGAAGATTGAGATAAATCCACCCCAGTTATTAATGTATAATGTTGCAACACGGGTTAACTGTCATTTCCTGTCAAGTTTGCATTATCAGCAGTTGTGCAAACTACAAGACTTGAAGGTTTAATTTTGTCTTCTTGTCATTTAATCCTTAGTCTCTGCTGAAATTGCAAGATAATGATGTAAAACGTTGGAGAACAGTGTTGAATCATTTGCTCAATTCCTCTCCTATGCTGTGTATCAGAAGTGTCATTAAGCTTTAAGCAGACTTCTGATGTGAACAAGTTTGTTAACAGAAGCTCAAGCTGGAATTGTACCTGTGAGCAATATTTTTTTTTACCCTTCTTGCATGATAATGAAAGAAATTCCATCAATGAAAACGTCTTCCATTTTGCAATGCAAAAGATTTAATCCATTGAAGTTCTCTTGGTAAAGTGGTGTGAGACTGACCTATGGGGGTGGATGACCAGATGTATTTACAGAGACTTGAAGTGGCAGTTTCACGTCAGGAAAAATGCCAGTACAGTAAGTCAAGTAAAATCATACACATTTATGCTGATGTTTACAGACTCCAGGTCTTCCTCTTTTTAAAGGGATCTTGCTTTGCTTTCTTATTTACAGTCACTGTTAATGCGCTGGAAGGAAAAGACTGCAAGGAATCTGTCAAGCTTATTGCAGAAAGCACTAATCTCTCAGAAGAGCAACTTGCTTTCCTCATTTCTGGCATGTATACCCTCCTGCGAGAGGCGTTGAGACTCCCCTTATCAACTTTCAAACAAGAAGTAAGTTCTGGGAGTATTTGGGAGTCCTGATAAGTTAAAAGCTGCATTAGGTATGAGTTACAATCTAAAACCTATTTGCCAGGGTGGGGAGCTACACATAAAAATGTTCCAAGTTAAAGTGGCTGGAAGGAACTGTTAAAAATCTAGAGGTTATTGTTTTATTTGTTAGATAGGTTTACAGTGAGCTTCTTGGAAGAGTATTTAAGGTTTGGGAAAGAGAGATCTTTTTCTACTTCAGCACCTGCACTGTGCATATTTGTTTTCACTCTTAAATTAAAACCCCAAAAGAAACTATTGCAAAGTTATTTCCTTGGCATCAACTTTCTGTTACCATAACCATGTGCTCGCACGTACCGCTCATTCTGTCCACACTTACAATTCCTCATATTTGTCTGCCTGCCTTTCTTCATGCTTCTGCTGTAGAGAAAGGAAGGTTGCATGGCTGGAACAGTGGAGTGAAAACTGGGAGAAGGTTTTCCTGCTTCTGCTATGGATGTTCTGTGTGAATATGGGTACAGATGACGTTTCTGACGCCTATCCCTGCTTCATGACTATTTTCTTTTTCATGTTACTTTACCTTACATTTCTTTTTTTCTTACTTTATTTTTATGTGAGTGAACCACTCCTGGGCTTACAGCACTGTTCTCTTGTTTAAGATACTGTTTTCATATTTACCCAGGCATGCTGGAAAATCTCACATATTACAGGAAGCATATTGAAAATATGCTTGTAGTACTCAGAGCTTATCTTTCACCACTTCCTTTCTGTTATCATAGTTTAAATGAGTTACTGCAAAACATATTTGAGAATAAGGGTATGTAATTAATTACTCTGAAAAAAGAATGTTATGGATAGCTACATGAAGGAAATAGCAGGGATGTTGTTTCCAAAAATAAAGGCTTCCAACAGATTTAGGCCTTTAAAATTAGTTTCTCACTACTCAATTGAAGGCTTCTGGAAGTTCTCCTCAATATGTAACCTGTCATTTCAATGCTACTGGCAATGGAGATTAAGACTTTTGGGGGGAGATACCAAGATACTATTAATTCACCAGGTAAAAAATCCTCTTTTAAGACTACATCCTGTAGAATCTCACCTTCTTTGTCTTTCTAGGTTTTTAAGGAAGACCTAAAGGAGCTCAGGTATGCCTATTTATGTGTACAGAATACATTTGTTACCAAATGTCATGTGAAGCCAGAGGTGTTGTGTGAGACTTCAGTTAGCACCTAGCATGAGCAGTAAATTTCACATGCTGGGGAGAGTTGTCTAATTTAGTCTGTAATGTAGGTTATGCAAATGTGAGTGACCTTCTCTCTGCCATCCCCACCTTGCACTGCAATATCTTTTAACATGTTTGGTAAGGCATTTCAGAAGCTAAGAAACTGCCCTACTTTTTTTCCTTCTTTGAAAGGCCAATGATAAAACGTTCATGACATTCTACCACCTTGTTCAGCTCTGATCTCTCCTGCCCATTACCCCAGAAAGCATAATGATGTTACAGACTTCATCAAAATCGGTATCAGCCTTTCCAGAGCATCTCTGAGTAGAAGTTCATATCCTAAAAGCTAGACCTCAGATGATAATCATCTCTATAGATTTTCCCTTATTTCCATATTCAGTAGCAAGGAGAGAATAACAGCAGTTGCTGGTTTCATCTGTAGAGAAACCTCTGCACCAAGGCTCAATTATTTTAAAACGCTCATTTCCCATAACTCTCAGCATCCTGATTCCCACCTAGGAGAAATAGATCAGTATGTTTCTAATTCTGTCTTTTTTCATCCTTATTTGTCTGTTAACCTGCACATTGGCTTTCTCCTCAGACTCTGTTCTGCAGAGTCATAGGCATAACTAATTTTGTGAGCAACTTCAGGCAAGTTAAAGCTGCAGATTTAGACATGTAAGTGGTGAAAGGTGTAACTGGGGCCATGATGAAAGGTGCCTGGCTAGTTGGTACAATTTTGCCTGCAGCTCAGTGCTGGAGTTAGCCCTGCCTTTTGTCTTGTGAGCTAAAATACAAGCTGCTTCCTCTCCCAGGTCACGGAGTTCACACCCAGGTTAAAGTAGGTAAGAAATTGAGGAGTTGCTTTTGACCCAGTGGGAGCTGGTGTTATTGAGGTGTGCACAGGCTGTGTTCAGTGTGATTAAGGGATAATGAAGAGCGCTAAAAGCTCCATGCCAAGTTCTGTGGGTAAATATTCCTCTGTTGAGCCGTGGAGAAAGTTGGTGTACAGGAGTGCCGGAAGTCACTGGCTGGGCTGGCTGTGTTACACTGACTGTGTCTAGAAATACAGATTCCCAGGCCTCCATCCCTGTCATTTGACCACACTTTCTGAAGAACACACATAGTGAGCAGCGGTGTCTTGGCATTATTGGCACCCAGTTTGGGCAGGAATTTTGCATTTTTAAGGCAGAAAAATGGCTTATTCTGCTTTTTTTTGTTGTGTTGACTTTTAAAAGCGTTGGGCTCTGAGCCAAGTTACTTTTTTTCTACTTCTCCAGCATTCTATTTTGTTTTCTTCAGTGAAAAGAAGTAAACTCATATAAAGTTTTTTAATTGTGTTTCCTGGTGATGCAGCTGGTCTTGGCTTCTATTTTTGGTGGAGAGAGAGGCTGGAGTAATGCCCACTTCTGATTAATTACATCAGTACTATGAGTTTCACAGGGTTGCCATTCTATAGGCCCTATTTTTTGGCCTGACTGGCTCAGCCAGTGAGAAGAAATTCGCTCTAAACTGTGGGTACTATTTCCACACACAACCCTCAGGTTGTTTAATAACGTTATGGCTTAGGCAAATAACATAGGATTGAGACATCCCCATATCTTCCATGCCCTTTGAGTCCCTTCCTCAGAATGTCCCTTTGAAAACTGATTGCCGTCTGTAGTTTAGGCCCGAGCTGTGCCATGTTCTGTGTCTGATCTGCTTAGTATGTGACTGGCCTCATGGAAGTTGTTAGAGGCAGCACAGAATTTTTGGCAAAATCATTAATTGCCCAGCAAAAATAATGCAAGCTCCAGGGGAGCAGTAGTGTGTCTTGCTTACTAACACTTGCCCTTACAGTTGAGCAATTATTGTGATAGGTATCATAACAATCATATTACAACCTCCTGTATCCAGCTATTCCACTACATACAGAGGATACTGGGTCATCATCAAGCTGGGTTAAGTGATATGCTTGCAGGGGAAGTATAAGTAATGTTTGCAGAAATAAAATCATGTCTCTTCTGAAAGACAGACAGACACATGCAGCCAAAAAAGCACTGTCTAGTTCCTCCTCCTCACTTCCCGCTTTGCCTCAGATGACTACCTTGCTAATATGCATTCAGTTTTATCCAAACACCATTTAAAAATGTATTTTAACCCCGCTTCTTCCATTAAGAATTAAAGTGCTGATAATTGCTGTTTCATCTTCCCACTGTGTGAGTTGATGAGTTGTTTTTTCTCCCATCATTAGACACTGTAAGCCCTTTAGGACACATAACTTCCCTGTTTGCTTTGATTTTCTTTGCTATACCGCTGTGTATCTCAAACCACTGGTGAGTAATGTCTCTGGGCACTGATGCGTGTCAAGTGCTGGATTGAACTGTGGCAACAGCAGTAGCTCTCTCACTTGTCCAACCTGCCTCTCTGTAGGAGGTTATGGTTCCTGTGGCAAAGACAGCTGAACAGATAGTGTTTTCTCTGTAGTCTTTGCAGTTCACAGCCTGATAATATTGAACTGAAAATCAACAGCAGCTTGACTGTGAGGCAACAACAGTGTCAGAGGAGTGGTAAAGTACTGAAGAGACACGGGGTGGATGGGGTGAAAGTTAGGCAACCAGTTCTCATGGTCCCCATCAAATCTGTGTTTGTCCTCCCCATTTTAGCTATGCTTCTTTTGTAAATAACCTTAGCTACAAGGGCCTCTGTTCTTGCTTTTGTGGGGGCAATTCATTCCATCTTCTTTTCATTACACTTCAGGTGAAAGTGAAATGTGTAGGTTTGGGTTTCTGAAAGCAAGAATTGCTGACCTGCCTTCTGCACTTGGCAGAGCCGTCACTAAAACTTTTCTTGACTGAGAGAAGTTAAGCAAATACCATTGCCATACTAGGTAGGACAGGAAGATGTAATACCGTTTTTAGGGTTCTTGATATAAAAACATAGGCTGTCCTTTTGAGAGCCTAGACTGAGTCAATACTGAAGTGCTTATGGCAGTTTTAAGCGATGGAAGATGGAAAATGATGACACATTTTTGTGTTCTGTAATAGATTTTTTTTGTTTTGTTTTGGTAGCTAAGGCCATATATTTGTGGTTACAAATAAACTTAACTATTTTGTATTGGTCTTCTCTTTAAGGATACCAGAAGATTTCATTGTGGACTTTTCCAGTATAGTCTTTGGAAACAGGTTTGTATCTTCATGTATCTTGCATTGTGCAGGCAGCAAGGTTGCACAGAGCTGTGCTGATGTAAGTCCCAGACCTATTGCAGGAACAGCAAAATTCTCTAAATTAATATGAACAAGACTTGTCCCATTATTTTGATTCAACGTAACATGATGTCCCTCATGTGTGGCTGTAAATACAGTAAGTAGCTTTCATGCCAATTTCCAGTTTGTCTGTGATAATCACCCATCAATTTTTATAATGTTCTATAGGCTCTGTAAGGTGCGTCAGTACCTACAGATGAAAATGCATTGTAGAATTAAGCATTTTAATCATTGTTATCATTCAATTTAAAGCAAAGTGAAAGACCTGCTTTGTTGGGAGGCAAGCTACGTATGCCTTTTACATACTGTGGTTTATGGAAGCATTCACAGCATTTAGTCAAATCTTTATGTACAGTTGAATTGGGAATTCATACTGGGTGACTTGATGTCATGTATGAGATATCAAGTGCTCTGATAGCTGTAATTCATTTTCTAAGCAGTAGCTCCAGAGGAAGTACTGAATCAAGAACTTTTTGAACCACTTAGCTCTTTTGTCCCTTCTAGGGATTCCTTTTTTCTATATGGTTCTCTGCTCAACCATATTCAGTTTATTTTACATCTAGAAATTGCTTGGAATTTTTGCATATGCAGAACTTTTCTCCTTGAAACTTGAGGTCACTCAGCACATAGCATCACTAACCCAATGCTGCTTCAGATATTCTGCATGGAATCCCAGTAATGATAGTTGTGGTATTTCAGTTACCCTCAGAAGGGTCTGAATGCTGCTACCAAAGTTAAAAACATTTTTCATTTCCTTGGTTAGGATCTTGGCTTAAAGCTAAAGGTTCTTGGAGTAAAAATAAATTCAGCTTTCTCATCTTTTTCTTGCTCTTCTGTCTGAATTATAGGTGTCAAGAATGCAAAATTCATGGTTGCAAAGTGGAAATATTGTTTGTGGTGGAGAAAGAGGATAAATTTAGATGTCATTTGAAGCATGCATGATTGTCTGTTTTCAACTGCAAAATCACGATGCTGGAAAATTTAGCTTTTTCTCATTTCAAAAGCTGTGATTATCCAGTGTAATCTTGTTCTGTGTTTTGAGACCAGAGAAGAGTACCTCAGATTTGATTTCTAGACAGATCTGCTTTTATAATCTTAAATGTAACACTGAATCATACATACGCTTATTGAGTTGTAAATATATATGATTGTGATGGTAAGAGAAGTATTAGCATCTGATCAAAAATTCAGTATAAGCTAGATAACCCAGAAAAATCCATTTTTAATACTTTTCCTGGCATCTTATCCTGTTTCTGCGATTTTGCTCACTAAACAACAGCTCTGAAGTACTGGAAATTTGACATTTGTACTTCAGTGTCTCCACAGTTCCATCAAGCTGTGTAGACCAAAAGGAAAGAAAAACTTGCCGCATTGACACCATAAAATAACCGCAGAAATTATAAGGTTTTTAAGGGAAAAGATAACCCTAACTTCCCCTTCTCGAAATGTTTGTAATAAATGTAGTGCTTTCTCCTTTTAATAGTGTATAGTTTTTACCAGGAGGTTGCATTCTGTGTGCCATTTGTCAGCATTTCACACATACATATATTTGTTCATTCTCCCTGTTCAGTGGCCTGCTTGGCATGCCTTGTTATGTGCGTAGGGAACCATCCAGAATTTGTCTTTAGTTTAGAATTGTTAGGTCAGCTGGTGCTCCACATTCTCTAATCTTTCATTTTCGAGTGCTCTTCTGTTGCATCCTTTGGCAGATGATGTTCTTGTCACCAGGTGTATCATCCTTTCCACATATAATTTGGATGGTCTCTGACTGATACATGGTGCTTTACTTGTTCTAACTTCTGCCTAGGCACTATGTACTGACAGTACATTGCAGCTGTTGGCACAGAGTGTTTACAAAATGTAATTATAGTCTGTAGGTTTTGGATATAAGATCCATTGAGTCTTTTTTACTCCATTTTGCTTTTCCTCTTAGAACTCAATGGCTTGATTAATGGCCTGCATAATTTCTGTATGTATGTTGGCCACTATATGCACATTCTGTCATCCTTGCAGGATTCTTGCTGTCCCAGCTGTGATCTTGTCCAGGCTTGGAAGGTGCTGACAGAAGCTTAAACTAAGCTATGAAAGCTGTGACTCTTTCTGAGGGAGTGGTGCTAAAGTACAGTCATGACCAGAACTAAAGCTTTGTGGTTTAGCCACAGAAATGCTGTAGCTTAACAATATTCGGAAGCGTCACCTCTGTTTGGGCATTGCTGATCTTCCCCACCACTGCTAACTAAAACATCTTCCTATTTTCTCTACTTTTTCTTCCCCTGAAATACTGGTGCTGCACTGAACGGGTTGTCTTCCATTCATGGGAGTTAGCGTGCCTTAAGGAAGCGGTGGCCGTGTGGCTATTTTTAGGCATTCCCCAAACAAAGCAATGCTCTGGCAGCAGCTACGACAGAGGAAAAGGCCTGTTCTTACTGTTTAATCCTGCTAATGACCATTCTAGACTCCAGCTCCTCATGGTTGCACCCAGCTGTGGTAACCTACTTCCTATCCTGTAGCTGACAGTGAGTAAGAACCAGCTGATCTGTTTTTTTCTGGTCATTCCTTTACCATACTATAAGGAATGTGTCACTTCTCACACCACCCACCCCTCCTAAGCACACACACCCCCCCCCCCCCAAAGGAAAAAAGGATGAATTCTTTCTTACACTGCTGTTGCTAAATGCAAGAGTGTTGGAGGATCTCAGTCTGCCAGTCCTGTGGACCTTACCAAATCATTAATCCTTCTGGGAAGTTTCTGAAGGCACCAGTTAACTTGCACACAAGAATCTGAGTTGGGGTGTTAAACTGTCATTCCTGCAATCCTGGATTTGTTCAGAGAGGATTCCTTTCTGATGTAAAGTCTCTAATTAGATTATGTCTAGCACCATGGATAAAGGATGTAACTGTTCTTATCCTGCCCTTAGTGGAAGTACTGGAGTAGCTTTGAAATGTACTGTAAATAACTTCAGGACACATGGGATGAAGGTACTTCTGCATGTATGTCTAAAAATGGGTGGTTGTTACGGCTGTGTATCAGATTTGGCTTGTTAAATTACTGTGAGCTTAAGATGCTGTTAAAATTTCAAAGATTGTCAACCATCTGAAGCTGAACCGCTGTCAACTGTATCTCCTCACAGGAATAAACTGAGGCTGGATCAGCCTCTTTGTTCCTGCAATATGTGTAATAAATTCAGGCCTTGGCTTCTCACATGTTAAACTAGACAAAAATCTTGAAGATTGTGCAAGAGTTGGCAGTGAGCATTACGTAAGGACTTCAGAGTTTGTAAATTGTGTTGGCTTAGCAAGAGTCACTGTGATTATTTTTGTAAGTATGCTTCCAAGTATACTCTACTATTACTGTATTTTTAAACATTGCTGCTTGCTAATACCAGATGCTTTCTGCTGAAGGAGCACAGTGACCTTATTCCTACTTGTTTGGTCAAGTCACCAGTTTCATCCCTGCTTGCTTTGTTCCTGTTGGATCTGCATGAAGATAAAGATCCATTTGCAGATCCCTTTCTAACTTGCACAGTTGTATGTAATTGAAACAATAGAAATGCCAGCCATTACAGTGACTCTTGCTGAACTTTAGAATGACGTCAGTTTACTGGAATTACACAGAGTCACTTGCTCTTTTTTAACATGGACTGTAGTTAAGCATAGAAAAAGTGGATAATCTGGGCACAGATTTCCTAAATACACAAAACTTCCACTCATTGAGACCTCTCTAAATGATGATAGATGTAGGAAAGAAACAAGTATCAGACCGGTTTGTTCTGAGGGATCTTATTTTCTCTTTAGATTGTTGTTTGTTTTATGAGTTTACTTTTCAGTCTTCCATTTCTGATTTACTCTGTAGGCGTCCCACTTCCGAAGGCACAGCAATCATACAAGGAAGTAGGCTGCCAAGCGTCCAGGACTTCAGGTGGAGAGTGGATGTAGCTATATCCACAAGGTATAAAAGAGAATCCTGCATGACCCTAGAAATTACTTTGCCTAAGGACTTCTTGTGCTGCTTAAAAATGTGAATAGTGTTAAAATGTACCTTCTGTAAGGGACTGGCATGCAGCATTAAAGGGTAAGATATGGAGGGGATTTTCTGAACAGTGCAGAAGTCAGTTTGTATACAGGTTGCTCCTGTTAACATGGGTTGCCAACAGGCTGCTGCCTTCATCTTCTACTAATGTTACTTTTGAGCTCCTTATTTGTTTTGATCTCTAAAACCTTTTTGCTAAGAACCATTTAATTGAAAATCTGAGTTTCTTTCAAAATTTTGAAACTTGATGGAGCTGATAGAACTCCATCCACAGGTCCTCAGATACGATGGAATAAATTAGACGGATTGACCCTCACACAGCCAGCCAAGCTCTCACTGGAGCAGGGAAGGGAAATCATCTATACAACTTCTCAAGCAGACTATCATTTATTTCTGTGTTGCACATGATAAATAAAATCTCATTACCTGTACAGTCTGCTATACATGGTACAAAGAGACGCTTCAGAACAGCACCTTTATGCTGCCATAGTTATGCAACTCGACAGTGATCTCCTAGTTTCTTTCACAAATCAGGAGCAAAGGTCTTTGTAATCATACTGTCTGTGCCTGCAGTGAATAGCTTCTTGCCATCTGCCACAGCAGAGGCAGCTAGGGGATGACTCTGGCTAGGGCCAGAAGGAAACAGAAACATGTTGTCTGTGCTGTTCCTGGTCTTTGTCTTGTTCTAACCAAGACAGACCAAGGTGAAAGAAATTAGATGATGATCCAGTATTTGTCAGTAGCATACATTGTTAGCATGAGTGACTTCATATTGCATACATGAGTACCTGCATCTGAGGGAGAGTCTCTTTCCCACCATAGTTGAGGCACCCATGCATCAGGGATGGTCTTCCTGAAAGCTAGAAAAAAGGCTCCTGAGTGAAAGTTGTAATGGCCACAAGCTACTAAGAGAGGTGACTCTCAGATGAAATGCTGTGAACAGTGTTGCATAGTGATACCTGTAAAAACAGGTACCACCACCCAGAAAAAAATCTGTACCTCTAAGAGAGCAAAATGTACAGATAAACATCCTCAGGCACAGTGCTTGCAAGCTGCAGGCAAATCCTATGATTTGTTTTCCAAACACTGGAGCAATACACTGTCCTTTTCTATTTTCCTTCCTCTTACTTCCTTTCCAGTCAACCTCCCCCCAGGATTTCTTGCTTATCATCCAGCAGCAGCCTCTGTGAAGAGGTATGGCTTCTGGCTGTAACGCCTTTCAGTACCTGACCAGGCTTTGGCAGGGTTGGTTGATGAAAGCTGCACAAGAATGACTCATTTCCCTTTCTTGGGTCATGAAATAACATACCACAAGTTTAGGATGAAGGCTGGAAGAGCCTGATTCCCTAAATGAGATGGGAGTTGAAAGTATTGAAGGGATGGGAAAGATTAATGCAACATGGTAAACTACATAAGAAAACTCTGTATTACTAGCAGTGGTTGGTTAGCTCTTACCCTTACCATAGTTCCACTGAACTATTATTTAAAATTAAAATTGCTCCTAAAGTCACAGTTACTAAACTATTAAAAAGATTTGTAGTCTCAATACTGAGGTAAACGACATGACTTCCATGCTCCTGAGTTGCCAGCCAGGTACAGGTCTCCGTAATTGAAATTACTCATGATCTATGTAAAGCCTACATGAACCTCTCAACTTGCTAATGTACAGTGCTGTACTTATCCCACTGCCCATGCCTATTGCTATAATACTAATCATGTAAATAATTTCAGTTCACTGGCCCGTGCACTTCAACCATCCATTCTAATGATGCTGAAGCTTTCAGATGGGACAGCTCATCGCTTTGAAGTAAGTCTGATTACCATAATAATTTAAAAAGAAAAAAAAAAAACAAAAATCATTGAAGTTCTTTTTAACAGTTTTTAACAGTTCTTTAGTGTTTAAAGTGTTAAAGCTTTTGTAAACAGTACATTATCATTGGTTAATTTTCTTTGGAATCCTTCATGCTCCGAGTAGCTGCATATAACAAAATGCCACCCAGAATCATATTATACCTTGTTCCTACACACATATTGCTGGAAACTCATTTGTTAAAGAGCATTAATTACTAAAAACCACTGTTGTGTAATACCTGGTTTGACTAAGAAATAGGGGGTTGTTATCAACTGCAACCTTCAGACCTGATGGTAGTTCTTGGGGTACACTGGGGTAGTTTATATAATGTATGATACACTTCTAAATGGTAACATTCTCTTCTGGGGCAGAGATAGTTTTATTCTTCAGTAAAGTTCTTGCTGCTAGAAAGAACGTAAAAAAACCTCTTTGCTTTTTTCCTCAGAATTAGTCAGTGGCAGTATTCCTGACGCTGTACATAAAGGCTTGCCGAAAGATGGCATAAACTCTTCCATATTTTTAACTTTTGAAAAGGAATGCTACTTGTTCTATAAATAACATGGTGGTGCATACAGGAATTCAGTGCACAGCAGGCGCTGTTACATTTGAACTCTCTAAAGATTTTGGCTTCAGTTCAGGCGTTAGTAGTAGTCTGGAGGAAGCACCAAGCGCTGTGGGTTGAAAGAGGAGGACTGATTTTACTTTTACAGTGTTTCACAAGCAGGCAATTATTGAGGAAGGTACAAATTCAGTGCTACATTGCAAAGTGTTGAGATCAAATGCCCTTGCTGTGGACAGTCCAGCTCAGGGCATCCCATACACTCTGAGGTCTTCCATGGAACTGAAATGATGCCATGGACTTCAGGATAACCCTTTACAACAGGGTGAGTTTCACTTGTGACAACTAGTAGATATTCTTAATTGTTTAGACTTAAGTCTTGTATGTATGTCAAAAGTGAAAAGGATGTAATGCCTTCTGATGCATCTCTGATGCATATGGAAAATGTAAATCAGATGTTGGATTCCTCTCACACAATTGGTATCTGTGCTACAGTAGGCAGAAGGATTACGAAGGACTCTGTCAAAAGAACTGTGTGTCTTCAGTGTTCTCAAAGAAGTAAATTAGGCAGTGCTTTGCAGAGCAGCCTGGGACTAGCTAGACTGCTGCTGGTACTCACATGAGCACGTGTTTGTGGTGCACTAACATGTCACCCAGTCTGTGCCTGCACTCAGATGTGGTTCTCTGCCTTAGCAAGTAACAGATTTCTATCCATTTGGCTTCTCAGGCTTGAAGTGGTAAAGGGAAGTCCATTAGTCTCCTGCACAACTGAAAATGTTTTGTATACTTTAATCAAAACCTTTGGCCTTCCACATACAGGCAGTGCCCTTTGCTCTTGAGGTTGCTGCCAAGTCCTCAATTCCTTTCTCTTACAAAGTTCAGACAAGCAGAATATCTGGAATTTGTTGCTTGAGAATTCTTTAGTCTCTACAACCTTCCACATCTTTATCTTTCCTTCCAGTCTGTAACTCGCTTCACCACAGCAGCCATCAGTTTACATTCTAGAGCACATCCTTTCTCGTATCAGGCAGGGTAGAAGATGTATTAGGTAGCTGTCATTTCTGGGTTTTCCCACTCTCCTTTTTTACCTGAATGATTTCCTTGAATTAACTGCATTTTCTTAACCTCAAATCCTTTAAGTCTGAAAAAAAAAACCTAAAAAAGTAAATGGGGCTGGCACTGTGGCATGTCCCAGTCCTGGGCATGTCCTTGTGACAATTCCCAAGATGTTTCATATTTCCTAACATGAATATTCTGTTTCAGGTGCCAGTTGCAAAGTTTCAAGAACTGAGATACAACGTTGCCCTTATACTGAAGGAAATGAATGACTTGGAGAAAAGGAGCATACTGAAGATCCAGGACTGAACACTTTGAAACTGGGAGTTTACAGAACAGATATGAAAACACCCTCAGTGTGTTTGGTGAATGGCAAAGCAGGGAAGCGTCACCACTTTGCCTCTCTGAACTTTAAAGTGGCATTTATGGTCATTTATGGTGTTTATGATGTCTGCTGTAAATATGTTTTCATTTCAAGCGTTAAAAGCACAAGGTCTTTTCGTAAGACTTAGGAAAAAAACAAACCCAAATCTATGAAAAAGCATAATGCTGTTTGCGAGAATTATTGCATGATTCATCAAAACATTTTTTAAATAACTGTCTTAATAGATGTAGGAGTCATTTATTTCTGATTGTGATTCATCATTCTCAGTATTTTTGAAAGCCTGCTACCGGAAGCCCCGTCAGTGTGCATCAGAAGAAAGCTCTGCAGTACCTCAAATAAAAAATACAACAACAAAAAACATGCACTCCTGTGCTCTCATGTGACAAATGTGGACTGGAGTTTTGCGTAAGTAAAAGTGCTTCTGGCTTCTCACTGACTGAGTTATGGCTGCAGGTATTTAAAGGCTAATTTTGAAGAAAATTGGAAGTCTGTGGATCAAAAAAAAATTGAGCTTCCAAAACTAATTCCATGGAATTGCACAAGTGGAACGGTGCAATATAAGTCTTTATCTGGTTGATCAAAATGGCCTAAATAGCAGTAATCTCATAGATTTCTAACTGGAAAGGCCTGCTTCTTGTTTTATGTATTTCCCATATGTTCAACGTGAACAGAATCATCTGAATTACTGGGCAGAAACCTCTGGCGCTGCAATAACAGCAAATGGCAGGAGACAGTGATCTTGTAGATCACTAAATACTCATTAATAGTGCAAATCAGACCCTGGGATGAAGAGGCTGCATACAGCCTCTGGGAGGAAAGTCACGGGTGTGAGAATACCAAGCCACCAGGCCAAGGAAACAGTTAAGCATAGGCTGAAGTTCCCTGTGTTGGTCAGGCAGTTGGATTGGATGATCAATGTAGGTCCCTCCCAACTGAAGTAAAAATTCTATTTATTTGCCCCATGAGTAAATCTTGGAAGAAGTCCCTTAACTTGAAGCACATGTTTTAATTCTCATTTAAATGCCATGGGACCACATGTATGTCCCTAAGATTTTTGCCAAGAAGGGCTGCATTCCTCAGTCATTGCCTGAACAAGTTTTCCCCAGCAGCAAAGATACGGAGGCTGTGAGCAATGGCCCAGTGACAGCGCAAGCCATGGGCCCTAGAACTATTAGATTTATCCAGCTGCTAAAAGCAGTTTAGAAAGCATGTGCTACGACTGTTGTTGGCACTGGCTCATTCTAGCTGCCTTTAGGAGTTTTACATCAGTAGTACCACCCATACTTCTCACTCTTGGTTTTTGTGACTGTAGAACTTGTCTTTATCTCCCTTACTGCCCGCAGAAAACTACTGAAATTAAAACCATGGATTAGGAGGCCTTTTTACACTCCCACAGCTGTTTCTGTACAAAAGGATGAACTGGCTCTTGGATTTTAAGAATCACAACAGGTATAAAATGACTTCATTGTATTAGTGCAGACTGCTGTCAAAGAAGTTCTTTTTAAAAGTATGACAACGACAGCTCAATAGCTATGGTCCAGAAAGCTTTTAAAACCTGTGCAAGAATGTGTCCTGTAGTTTCAAATAAACCTATCAGCCTTTATTTCAAACTGTTCCATTTGCTTTGTAGGCTACTCATCAATAAGCCTGAGGCTTGATCCATACTGCATCTTAACTACTGTGTTCAGGTTACACCAAAGCATGTAAAGAAGAATTAGCTCCTGCAACTTCAAGTGGGCTGTAGGTTGCATTAATGTGATGTTTTCTTTTTTGGTTTAGTTTGTGAAGCTTGTATATCTTATTTCTGGAATTCCATTATCACAAGATGTGATACAAAACATACATTCTTGCATTCCTTGTTACAACCTTTTCCCTCTGAATGTTCAGGTTTATTGGTTTCAAACTAGAAAGGAATCTCAGCTGAGACCACAAGTGAAGCCTTTACAGACAAATGGAACCCTGCATGGTATAAAATGACCTACTGCTCTAGACATTTGCAGAGTATTTTTTTACTGTTCAGAAGGATCCATAAATGCTATCTAAACAGAACATATTCCTTCCATTGTTCTCCTGTAACAGCCATTGCCCACGTTCTCCGGAAGTGGAAAGGCTTCCTTACTGTTTTCCTCATGTTCTCCACACAGGGTGATGGACCTCTTTTAGGCTCAATTTTTTTCTTGCCACACATTAAGCAGGAGTTTACTGTAACGGGAGGTTTACAATGCACCTGAAGGGGTGCATAAACACTTGGGATTTTCATTCCTCTGTACTTAAGAGTTAATTTGGGCTTTCCTTCTGACAGAGTAGCTTTCCAGTAAAACAGCAGTTGCCACCAAAATGGCTAATGGTAGTGGCTAGTGGACAGTTCCTTAGTTTTGATAAAATATGAGTCTTGAAAGTATTTTCTCTTAATTTCACAGTGAATTATGTGTGAAATATTTGTTCAACACTGAAAGATCTTACTTCACAATTAAAATACTCCAGCATTTGAATTCCACTGCATTTCTGACTGCAGCCCTTTCATTTCAATAGAGATCAAAAATAACCTTCTCAGAATCTAGGTATGCCTGAACAGAAATTATTTTACCCAACTCACTCTAGGTTTGGTTACACTTCAAGGACAGGCCGTGAATCCCCCTTTCTGTACAATGTGGGAAAGATACAACTTGTATGGGACGCTAGCTGTGTTGGTCCTGAGCTCTTGTCAGGCTGATCACCAGTCAGTCATCAGTTAGGAAGGGAGGAGATTCGTGTTGGGAAGGACAAGTATTTTTTTTCCTCTTACAGACCAACAGGTAATGAGGACCTTTCCCAGCTTCTGTTGGTAGTTTTCCCTGAAAAACAAACCTCAGCAATGCAGTTGCTTTCTCTATGTGATGGCGCCATGCATTTATCTAAACGGGATAACGTATTTGTGAATGTCTTAGTTCTAGCTATTTTCTAACCTGTGACATATGAACATAAATTTCCCCAATTCACCTTTTCTTTCATTTCCTTTACAGTATATGGAACATTATACTTTTGCTTTCAAGATTAATGTGTCAAAACCTATTTAAAATAGAACTGGAACTTGATTGTTTCTCAGTGTTAATCGTGTATGTATAATAGCAGAGATGCCCAGCGCATGCAGGAGTAGTCATTGTAGGCAGAATGCAAAAGGAGAGTCAAAGATAGTTGCCAGAAGTCATTCAGAGACTCAGTGGCAAAATAACACTGCAGAACTCGCACATGTTCACTTCCCGCTCTCTACCCGTCTGTCAGCACTGCTTCCCAACATGCCGGTCAGATCTCCCTCTTTTCTTTCCAGTTGGCTCAACTCCACAGGCCATCAGTCCAAATCTGTTCTTGCCTATGGACTATTACAGTGTGTGCACAGCACTTGAAAATAACAAGCCATCTGTGGCTGTATTTGCGATGCGAGTTTTCTCATCCCTACTTCCAGCAGAGCAGGAGCTCTGTCAGCATGACTAGGAGGTCAGAATTTCACACTTGCATTAGTTGTGTTAGTTGAGTAGTGAGTCTAGAGGGGAAAGAAATTGGTTGGTTGGTTGGTTTTGTGGTCTCAAAATCTTGACGCAGATTATAGCTCCAGAAGGCGGCTGAAGAACGTAGTCATGCTCTCATCCTGCCTGTTGTGCCAGCCATTAACTGCTGGAAGAAGATCAGTATTGTGCTCATTGTCATTAAAAGGAAGAAATTAAACCTCCCTTTGAAGAAAACTCATACAAGGGAGCTGTGCTTTAGCAGAGTGAGTCACCTCCTAGCTTTAACTTCTGTTTAAGTGAAGGATAAATAGTTCTTGATCTCATGAACAATGCAGGTAGGGAGTTGCTTTGGGTTTTTTTCTGCTTTTTTCTTTTTTCTTTTTTTGCCTCCTAATAAAGTACACCTCATGACCCACTGCTGCTCCAAATCCATGAATATATGTATGAATGTATGAAAACTCCACGCTTTCAGGATGTGTTACATAAAAACACCCCAGCATATCTAGATTGAGTATGTACATTCAACTTACACAGCTGTTCTTGCTAAAATAATCTTTGCAGAGCCTGGCCTAATGTCAGAATCAAATATTTTGTAGTTGCCGATTTCTAGTGAACAGTAAAGCAGTATCTTGGCTTAAAAACATTTGCCATTAGTGATTGTACAGCTCACTCTGTACCTGTCACACCCCACAAAGTACTAACATTTACCAAACACCACACGTACCAGGAACTAGCAGAGGCAGAGCCAGCTGGTTTCCTCCCTAAGAAATCACAGCGTTGTTGCCCACAGGCCATCCATAATAAGGTCTGAACTTTTTTCTGGCTTTGGATAAAGGACTGTGCTCTGTTCACCCTCCTAAACACACAGCTCCCACCACGGGAGTAGTTCATAAACACAGCTGCCCTTTTCTCTTGAAATGTTTCAGCCACGTCCCTGCTGCTGTAAGAGAATTCCCAGAAGTACATTTCACAGTGCTTTTTTGAGAGTCATTCCAGTCCGGAGCGATCAGCCTGTCAGCAAGCCCTGCGGATGCCTTCATGCATTGTAAATAGAAACTGTGGAAGCTCCTTTCAGAGCACAAATGCTGATCACATTTTCCACAACAATCTATTTCCCTATCTTGAATTCATGTGCTGCTAGAAACCCTGCCTTTGTACGTGACTTATCTCTTTAAGCGTCTGCAATGTAACTATGTAAATACCGGTGGCATATTCCTGATGGAGAGATTGTCATCGCATTGCTACTGGTAACCAGCGGTTCTGTCACTTTCCCTCGCTTGAATAGGCTTTGACTCATAGTGGTTTTCAGCGCAATGGTTATAAAATAACACACTGAGGGGTTGCCGAGGCTATTTTGCAATAGAGACAACTGCTGACCTCAAAGCTACAGGAAAACATCTTTCTTTGTTCTTTTATAGTGATACGATGTATCACTTGCTATATTGTGCACCTGAAATTGGTAGCCATAGTTACATAGTTACTGCATCTTGGGCCTGGGACAAAATGAACCTCTTGAAACAATAAGGAATTAATGGGTAAAACTAGATCCTGGTCTTGTTCGAAAGATTAAATTCAGGATTGGTAGTACTAAAGGATGAGTTATTTGACATCTTGGCCAAGTGATCATTTGATTATCTAACGTGGCAATAAAACTAACTTTTAAGGTGTCCTGAAGTGAACTGCCTTCATTGTAATACTAAAAATCACACCCACAGAGGTCAAAAAGACTCTGGCCCAAATGAAGACCTCTCCTCTGAGCATATGCAGTGATTAGAAGGAAGGACACAGCAAATAACTACATGTAGATTAAACCCAATCATTGTAACTGGTAGTGTGTTACCTTGTAACTCATGTGTATAAATGTAAGGAGAAAGCCAGCACTGGTGAGCTTGATTTGTGGAGCCATCCACTGAGCAGCCAGGCCTGAACAAACCCAGGATCTCTGCTGAGTGCATGGATTTGGGTTACCATACACCAGGCACAAACAGTATGAGTTCTTCTTGCATGGAAGTTTGGGAAACGAAGTCTGTGTTAGTGAGCATGAGTCTGGGGGGAAAAACCCCATCCTTCTGAGCCCCAGTTCTAACTCTGCCTGTTCTGAAGCATTGCTTCACTGAAACTTCAAGTGCTTCAGGTGTCCCATATTTCTTTGAATTATCTGATGGCAGGCTGAGCTACACTTTGGATTCTTGTTTGATTTAAGCTATGGCAGAAAAAAAATACTAAACCCAGTGGTTATTCTATTAAACTTTTTCTAATTAAAGGACTTACCTGGGAAAAATGGTTGGATGTTGCACTAGGGACAGAGTCCAAACATTTAGCAGGTGCAAAATGTCTTCTTGTCATAGAATGTGAAGGCAATTATTGAGGGGTCTGAAAGCTGGTTTCTGTTTCCAGGTATAACGCTGACTTCCTGTATAATCCCAAAGTTGCCTACATACGAACACAAACATCACAAAATTAGCCTTCCTTATTCTGGTGGGTGTTCTTAAGAGTTAAGAGCCAGAATTTAACTGCCTTTAAATTCATTTTTTGCTTTAAATCTAAGCTCATCTGGACTTTCTCATGTATCCTCTCCAAACAAGGTCTTACCAAAGTCATGTTTATTCCTTCTCCTTTCTTCCATTTTCTGTCCTGTCCATTCAACCCCCATAGGCAGGGCTTGTCCTTACCTGCTTAGTTTACATAGACAAAGCTGGGGGATTCAGATACTTCTGTAAATAAGAAATGGGAAATCAGTTCCTTCATCCCTTCTCTTATGTTTTGTGAGGGGGCCAATAGCATCAATAACAGCTATCTTCAGAAATATCAAATACTGCAGTGGATTTTAAGACAGTGTGAAAAGCGCTCTATGTTTTTAGAGTATTTGAAAACATCTGTCTAGATATCATGGACATTTCTAGAACCTGTAACTGGGATCTACATAAAACTGCAAACAAACAAAAATCAGACAACTTCTTTTAAAACAACTGCTTCTGTTCTGTGGTAGCACAGGCAGTTTTCTCCCTAGTTCAGCACCAACAGTTACACAACTAGTGCAGACCTTTCATATCATCAAAATCGGTTGAAAAGTGCAGAGTGAAGTGGGCAACTCAGCTAGTCCTAAATAAAACAAACATACATCATAAGGCATGTGTTTTTTACCTAGAACCTGGCAGGTACACCTATGCAATATGCCACACCACATACCTAAGTAAACGCGACATTTTCTTCCTGGTGTTCTAGTCCTAAAAGCACAAGTACCCAACATCAGAACAGCTTCACAACTACGCAGATTCTCTTCAGTAGAGTTATTATGTGCCTCACTACAGCCTTTAAAATTCCAGTTCTAGCAGGAAATGGCATTAGTGTTTTTTTTTCCAAATCGGTTTGAACTGTTACTTATTTTGCACTACCGTAACTATCAAGATGCCAAACCCGGGACCGAACTGAGTGAGTTTCTCGCCGCCATGTCACCGTAACCCAACGGGTCAAACGTAACTTTCCAGCTGCCCGGCGGGAAGCGGTTCCCATCGGGGTTTCACCTCAGCACGGCCCTGCCCAACCCAGAACCCGGACGAGGAGGGACCGTGCCTGACACCTACCGGAGCGGGCGGCGCCGGGGCGGAGCCATTCCCGCACCTCACGGGGCTCACACCGGCCTCAACCCCTCACAGGGCGCCCGCGCTGACAGGGCGACCCCTCCCCAGACCGGGCCGGGCCCGACAGCCCGCTCCGGGGGCAGCGCCGGCTCCCCCTGCCCCTGCAGGACCTCGGCTGGGGCTGCGGAGCCCGCTCCGGTGCCGGGCCGGCGGGCGGGCCCCTCAGCGGAGCAGGAGCGGGGCCGGGGCCGCTGTGGGCGCGTTACAAAACCGCCTGGTTTTGTAACAACCTGCGGGCGCTGCCCAATGAGCGCCGCTGCCCGGCGTCACGTGCCCGCCTTTATATAAGCGGCGGCGGCGCGGGGCGCTCCCGGCGCGGGGCGGCAGCAGCATGGGCCGGTGGGGCCGTGCCGCGCCCGCGCCCCCTCCGCTCCCCGCCGCCCCGCACCGCTAGAGCCGCCGCGGCCATGGGCTCCCACCTGCCGCCGCA